CCTGCCGAAGCGCCTGCTCCGCCGCTGCAGCCGCTGCCACCTCACAGCCGGCCCGCGGCTTCCTCTTCCGCTGGCTGTCAGTCAGCCGTCTCTATGGTAACCGCATCCGGCCTCTCGCTCCGCCCGCGCCCTCTCTATGGTTGCCCCACAGAGCAGCGAGGGCTAAGGGGGCGTATGCGGACGCTAGTCCTCGCGAGCGCTCGCCTGAACTAGACATGCCCTTGCCCTTGGTGAACACGGTTCTCCCGGTCCGCCTCGCCACCCCAGGTCCATWCAGCTGCTTAAGAAATGTTTGTTGTCAGCCTGAGTTCCGGGGTTCTCGATGGCTCCGTAGGAGCTGACCATTGGTGGACGAGCTGGCCAGTCCTGCCTGCAGGGCTGAGAGTTAAGCAAGGCAGGCATTAAACATTTTGGGGCATACCAAAAATGAAACAGGTATAAATCACAAATTGTGATGAATACCACTGCAGAAAAGTACCAAAACAGGGAGAATTAGACTGGGAATGCTGAGATCCAAAAGTTCAGTAAGAGTTGTCCAGACACAAAGCAGAGTTCCCCAGGCAAAGAACAGAGCACAGGAATTAGTGAAGGGAACTAGAGAAGGGAATTAGTGAAGAAAATTGGGAAGGATGGGGGCGGCTAGAGCCTGGTGATAGTAGAACAGACCAAGATGAGGCTACAGGGAAGGAGGGGTCTTCAGCTGACCACCGTGGAATCCCAACCAGGATGGCACCTTTCCTATGGAGCAATTTGGAAAAGTATAGGAGCAATTTTGTTGTCAAATGGCGGTGTTGGGGGAGAAGGTCGATGTCTTGCACATTGTAAGGTAGTATCACAAAACTGTCCTAATCCCATACAATGTTCTACTCAGCATTCATGTAAATGAAAAAACTGGTTTTAATAATCGGATCCTTACAGCTGTTTTACATATAAAAAACAAAGTAGTTATATGGGTTTGTAAAATGTGCCAAATTTTAAAGGAATATAACTACCATATGAATGGAAGGCAGACTACTCTGTTATGTTCATGAATTTGCTAAGAGCTCTTCACCATTTTGGAGAACTTCATCACCAACAACAATGGCACCCTGCGGAGAATGCATTTGTACTGTCACATTCAAAGTGATCTCATGGATAGGTCCAAACATCCTTGTACTGGGAATTAAACCCAGGGGTGCTCTACCACTGAGCCCACAACCCCAGACCTTTTATCTATCTATCTATCTATCTATCTATCTATCTATCTATCTATCTATTTATCTATCTATCTATTTATTTTGAAATATGGTCTCACCAAATTGCTGAGGCTGGCCCTGAACTTGCAATCCTTCTGCCTCAGCCTCCTGAGTTGCTGGTATTATAGTATGGCACCACCACACCCAGCAAACATCTACATTATAGAGTATATTGAAATAATGTTACTAGTTTATAAAGGATTTCTTTTATTTTTTATTTTTCTTTCTTTTATGGTTAAGAAACTAATTTTCTTGAAATTGTATAGTTAGGTTATATCATCTAGGAACTTTGTTTCAAAATAGTAAAGGAAGTGTTAGTTTAAAAAGTGGCAACAGTAGGGCTGGTTAAAAACACCATTCTACCAGTATATAAGATGGAACTCACCTGATTAACCACCAGCACTGTTAATCTCTTGCTGTCTTTTGGTCTTATCCTCAGCTAGACTGTAACTGGATCTCCCCTCAGCAACTGGGACACAGGTAAATGAATGACTTGTTAAAGAGATTTGGGGTGGGGCTGGGGACATAGTTCAGTTGGTTGAGTGCTTGCCTCACATGCCCAAGGCCTTGGGTTCAATCTCCAGCACCACCAATAATAATAATAATAAATAAGAGATTTTAGGAAACAGAGTAGGGATGCTCATCTAGAGATCAGATTTCCAGACCAGTGTTGTCCAAAAGAAATATGTGAGCCACAAATAAAAGCCATGTATGTAACTTAAAATTACTTAATAGCCACATTTTTTGAACAGGTAAAATTCATTTTAATATTATCAGGTATCCAAAATGTCATTTCAACCTATAATCAACATGAAAGACTACTTATATGTTTTACATTTTTCCCATATGAAATCCAATCATATTTTCCTCTTACAGCATATCACAACTCAGACTAGGCATATTTCAGGAGCTCCGTAGTTACAAGTGCCTAGAGGCTACCATATTAAACACTATAGTTCCAAACCCTTCTCGGTTTAACTAAATTCTTAGGTGTTTTAGTCAGCTTTTTCACTGATGTGACTGAAAAACCTGAAAAGAACAACTTTAATACTTTTCTTTTTTTATTTAATGTATGTGGTGCTGAGGATCGAACCCACGGCCTTGCACATGCTAGGTGAGCGCTCTACCACTGAGCCACAACCCCAGCCCCTGAAAAGAACAACTTTAGAGAAGGAAAAATTTATTTGAGGGCTCACAGTTTCAGAGGTCTCTGCCTATAAGACATCTGGCTCCATTCCTTGGGGCTCAGGGTGAGGCTGAACATCATGGCAGAAGAGTGTGGTGGAGGGAAACAGCTCACATGATGATGAGGCAGCAGAGACAGAGACTCTACTCACCAGATATAAAATATATACCCAAAGACATGCCCCACAATGACCCACATACTCTAGCCATACCCACCTGTCTTTAGTTACCACTCAGTTAATCCCATCAGGGGGGATTAATTCACTGTTGGGGTTAAGGTTCTCATAACCCAATCATTTCTTCTCTAAGCCTTCTTGCATTGTATTATACATGAGCTTTTGGGGGACACTTCACATCCAAACCATAACACTAGGTAACTCTTGATGAGTCATTTCCTTCCTTGGGTCTTATTTCCTTCCTTGGGCCTCAGTTTCTTCATATTTTAAGCAGTCTAAACCAAATGTTCTTGCAGCACTGACCTTCTATGATTTGTTCATATTTAGCCTTTCCTTTTCTTCTCCTATTCCTCTATCCTTCTCTTCCTCTGATTTCTCCTTTCTCCCCATTCTTCTCTCTTCACCTCCATTCTTTTCCCTGAAAGTGATCTAATCTCTAATGGGAATGGCATAACTTCTAAGTGGTCAACATGCTTTGTAAAGCCATTCACCATGCTGAGGGAGATGCCCAGCAACTGTTCATCATTTCATCAGGAAATCATGCATGTGATTGGCTGCTATACAGATACCTTCAGAGAAGTGACTTTGTTAAAGTTGTTCCCTTGTCATCAGGAGCCATTTTAAAGAGTGCAGTTCTGGAATCAAAAGACTCTGTCTTCAGGGGCTGGGATTGTGGCTCAGTGGTAGAGCACTTGTTTATCATGTATGAGCACTGGGTTCGATTCTCAGCACCACATATAAGCAAATAAATAAATAAAGGTCCATCAATAACTAATAAAAATACTTTTTTAAAAAAGACTCTGTCTTCAAATTCTGGTACTGTCTCACAGCTGTATTTTTATTGACAGCTCTATTATTTAGTTCCTTGTAACCTGCCTGTGAGTACATATGTTAAATAAGGCTAGTAAAGGGAGACAATACTCCCAAGGAGGTTCAGTGCCTGGGTAAGTGATTCTTATGTGCTCTACAATGATTACTCCTTTGCTTCATGCAGAAAAGCTATATATATTCATTCAACTATATGTATATTTTTGTATCTAAAATAATGCTTTTACATATAGTAGATGCTTAATATTTGTTAAACATTAAATTAAATCAATATCTAGTGCATATTATCCATAGGCAAGTATTCTACAAGGAGCAGGAAGGGCAAGAGAAAAATTCAGTTAGTTAATTAACAAGAATTAAGCTCTTTAATCCTTACAAACACATGAGGTCAGTACTATACTACATCCTTCTCATTTTACAGAGGAAAGTTTGTACTTTGCACAGTGTCAAACATTGTGAGCAGTAGAGCTGGGGTCTGAATGCAAGCAGTGTGCCCCAAGTTCATGTTCTTAATTATGCTATTCATGTGAGGTCCCCACCTCATTACTCAACAGCACATAAGTCACTTATTTTAAGGCACTTAACATACTTGAACGTCGTTGTTTACTTTTCATAAGTTCCTTCTTCCTCATGAAGTCAAGGAGTGATTTGTCATCAAGGCAACTCCATCTCTGAGCCTAATGTATAGTAGTACTTAATTCTAGGAAAACTAATGTTTAAGGTATGAAAATGTGTAATAGCATGGCTTTTCTCTGAACTGTAAGTAAGCAAGAGTCTACGGAGGAAAACTACTTCTACTACAGGGAGGAGCTCTCTTTTTTTTTTTTTTTTTTTTTTGAGTCCCCATAGGAGTAAGAGTTTCTTTGTTTCCCCTAGTGTCACTGATCACGAGGCACCCGTTAACAGGAGCCTGTTGAAGTAACAGGATCAAGAACGTGCCTTGTATTTGTGGCTACAGATTTGGAGTTTACAATGCGAAGTCCGAGAGTAAGTGAGGCTCAAAAAAAAAAAAAAAAAAAAACAGTCAATGTCATAGCTAGGTGTTGCTAAAACCTCAGCAAAGGGGTCTTTTATTTCAGACTCATCGCACCGAACTTACGTGGTTTTGATGGAAATCTAACAATTCTAGAGTGGGTGGGGTAAGCAACTAAGATTTTGGAACAACGTTTGGCACTTTCTAAAAGTTTGGTTAATGATGAACCAGCCTCTCAGATTTCCATCTCAGGATGCCTTTCTTCCTCGGAGAATTCCGCTGTCATCGTCCGCCCGGCCCCCTCACTCCGGCAGGCACCTCCACCTCCACCTCTCTTCCCATTGTTCCGACCCATTCTCGAGCGCTGCGCACCGGGAAGTGTAGTCGCGCTCCCGGCTGGCGGAACCAGAGGGGACCCTACAGACTGGACTTCTCCACACAGCTCAATAGATCTTGGCGAGGCGGGGTGAAGCCTGGCACGCCCAGCTCGCTTCTCCGAGGCGCAGTCTGGGATTTGCAGTTCCCAGAGCCTGAAGCGGGCCTGCAGGTGGAGGGCTCTGGGACTCTAACCCCGCCCAGCCTCGCGCGTACTGATGATGTACGCGCGCGCCCGCGGCTCCTGGGATCGGCGGTAGTTCTCCGCGTGGGTCCCGCCCTTGGCCGCCGCGACTCAAGGACACACTTCCCAGGAGCCCTCGCGGCGGCGCGCCGAGAGCCCCGTGGCCGTGATTGGCTGGAGAGCCGGCCGCACGCGGAGGAGCTCAAGGAGCAGCTCTGTTGCGACAGAGGCCGAGCGGCGAGGCCCGGTGAGTTGGGGGGAAGGGGCGCCGGCGGCGGGAGGATGCTTGGTGCCTAGGGGCAGGCTGGACGAGAGGAGGAAAGCGAGAGCGGGTCGAGATGGAGGGGGCTGCGAGGGAGGAGGAAGGGCGCGAGGAGAACAGCTGACGGCGGGGTGTTGGAGGCTCGGGGGCGGCGAGCGTGGAGACTGAGAGTGCTCACCGCGCGGGCCACGAGCGTCCCGGGAAGAACCCGGCCGGAAAGTGCGGTGGCCGCCGGAGTGCGGAGCGCCAGGTCGCGGGGAACTGGAGATGGGACCTCTGCGGAGTGGCAGAGCCTGGCCCCAACTGGAGGTCCTGAAGGAAGGGGGTTTCCAAGTGAAGAAGGCCTTGGGGGTGGGGACCCGGGCCAGAGGGAAGAGATGTCAGGAAGAGAAGAGCGCAGGCCCAGAAGTGGCTTGAGAGACCCTGGCCAAGTTGGGACAGGCTAGGCCGGGGCAGAGGCTTGATAGGAAAATTCCAGGCGGGATGGAGCAGGGCTCACGCATTCTTACCAGTAAGTTTAGAAATCTGGAGTATCTGTTTGCCTTCCTTCAGACTCCCTGAAAGAACAGTGACCTACCCCTGTGGCTCAGCACCATGCCCTCTGACCTGGCCAAGAAGAAGGCTGCCAAAAAGAAGGAAGCTGCCAAAGCTCGACAGCGGCCCAGAAAGGGACATGAAGAAAACGGAGATGCTGTGACAGAACCACAGGCAGCAGAGGAGAAAAATGAGGCCAATGGCAGAGAGACTACAGGTGAATTGAGGGAGCAGTGAGTTCCAGGGTTGGGTACTAAGACATAAGGCATGCCTCGCTCTCAGTCAGTCTTGGTGCTGGGGCCATGAAAATTTTCATGATAAATTAGTAGCATTGGAGTTTGTGCTACCCTGTTTGAACAAATATCAAGCAAACATGCAAGTTGTTGAACTGCTTTGAAACTCTATTGGACTATAAAGAGGTGGTCAGTTTCCTCTCCCTTTCTCAGTTTTCATTTCTATGCATGGTGTCCAGCATGTGGGGCTCTTGCCATGATACACGTGCATTATATTTACATGAAGTAACTTATGAATTGTTTTATGAGCTCTTCCTGGAAACGATGTTTTTAGTATTTGTTTACTGAGCATGCCTCAAGTGTTAGACATAGTGCACACACCAAGGTACTATAAACATAGTCTGCTGTCTGATGATTTGCAATCTAGATAGGAAAACATGGCAGATAAAGACTATTCCAGGCCCTTTACAATATAATCAGTCTCTTCCCTGTACCCTGGAAACTCCCCACAAAGTCCTTTTATTACATCCAGACTATTCATTGTCCTTTGAATAGTTAGTATATTTCTGTTCTTTTACACCTTTAAGTTTTAATATACCATGTGTTTGTGCTAGCTACATTTGACATTTCTTTGAAAGCTCAGTTCAAGATAGCAAAAACACTTAAACTTGACCTTAGTAATTTCCCATTCATTGTACCCTATGCTATCTTATAATATTACTTACCTTTTTACATTGTGTCTCCTATTTCTTCATCTAAATTGTTTGCTCTTAAGAATACAGGGACCATGTCTTGGGTGATACTTCTTTTTGTGAGCTACTTCACAGACAGACTCTAGGTAACTGTTTGAAGAGGAAAAGAGAATCACTAATACAAAACAACAGATAGGTATACATACAAAGAGGTAAAATGAATGACAGACCCATGCGTGGTAGTGTACGCCTGTAATCCTAGCAACTCAGAGGTTGAGGCAGGAGGATCATAAGTTCAGGGCCAGTCTGCAAATTAGTGAGATCCTGTCTCAAAATAAAAAACACAATATGTGAGAATGTAGCTCAGTGGTAGAGTGCCTCTAGGTTAAATCCATAGAACTGCAAAACAAAAAACAAATCTGATGGAGTTGAGTCAGAGGAATTGTCTCCAAAATAAGAATTTAGGATAAAGTTGATTCAATAAAGCCAGGGCATTTTCACTCCTGGCCGTAGTAGCAGAGGATGGGAAGTTTAGAATTGTAGGAATAGGAGTTGGGGATATAGCTCATTTGATAGAGTGCTTCCCTCACATGCACAAGGCCATGTGTTCAATCCCCAGCACCACACACACACCAAAAAAAAAAAAAAAATGTGAGAGTAAACAAGGACACAGTAGTTCAAGACATGGACAACAGAAGCTAGAATCCAAAGAACAGATTGCAAAGTAAAAGGTATCCAAGAAAGCAGGGTGTTGGGCAGTTCTGAATTAGTGTGCACTCTGTATAAAGCTCACTCTCTGAGACCTCTGAGTCTGCTCAGCATGGCCTCAGCCCAGGTCCTTTAGGATCTATCTGCCTGTTTGTGTGAGAGCTGACTGTCTTACAGCCCCCTTCCCTAATTGCATTTTTTTTCCCCCAGAAGTGGATTTACTGACCAAGGAGCTAGAGGACTTTGAGATGAAGAAAGCTGCTGCTCGAGCTGTCACTGGTGTCCTGGCTTCTCACCCCAATAGTACTGATGTCCACATTATCAACCTCTCACTCACCTTTCATGGTCAAGAGCTGCTCAGTGACACCAAACTGGAATTAAATTCAGGGCGTCGTTATGGCCTCATTGGCTTAAATGGAATAGGTGAGGCCCTTAGAAGGTGTGGGGAGGGGGTCCTCTCCTTGGCTCATTTGTCACTTAGCAGGTATTTAGCATAAGCTGTGTACAAAGCAAGGAGTATGCATTATGGGTGGAGACCAGGTTTACCCAGAGGAAAGGAATTAGCAGTACATGGCAGTAGTACACACCACCACCTGAATAATTTAGATAGTAGGTGCTGGAAAAGTCCAGAGGGTTCAGGGAGCAGTGGTATGTGAAGCCGTTGTGGGGAAAAAAAATATATATATGAAGGAGATGGAGTGGGACAAGAATTGGATGAAAGTTGGAAAGTTACCCTAAGAGTGGAAAGTAGGAGGGTTGGACAAATGAAGGGAGGAATAGTGAGGTCCTGGTTTGGCTGTAAGCAACTGGTAGAGAGGAACAATAGAAATTACTGAGTGCCCTCTTCTCTCCCTCTTAGGAAAGTCCATGCTGCTCTCTGCTATTGGGAAACGTGAAGTGCCCATCCCTGAGCACATCGATATCTACCATCTGACCCGAGAGATGCCCCCTAGTGACAAAACACCCTTGCAGTGTGTGATGGAAGTGGACACAGAGCGGGCCATGCTGGAGAGGGAGGCTGAGCGGCTAGCTCATGAGGATGGTAGGGCTCCAGGTTCATGGGTGGGGGTGGGMTTCCTCTTGGGAAAGCCRCAGGGAACCTGACGGCCCTGTGCTGCCCACAGCGGAGTGTGAGAAGCTCATGGAACTCTACGAGCGCCTGGAGGAGTTGGATGCTGACAAGGCAGAGATGAGGGCCTCGCGGATATTGCACGGACTGGGTTTTACACCTGCCATGCAACGCAAGAAGCTAAAAGACTTCAGTGGGGGCTGGAGGATGAGGGTTGCCCTTGCCAGGTGAGTCCCTCTCTCCTTCCCCACTCTTGAAGCTCTCTGTCTCTCAGAATTGATGCTCACTCCAGTAGAACTATTTGGAACAGGGACCAGTGGTCAGTAAGTGGCAAGGAGACCCAAACATTGATGGTGTGGAGTGGGTAATAAGGATGGACTGAGAGGAGAGCGGGCTTCATGGCTGTGGTACTCCAGACTGACCCAGCGCAGCATCGGACCCAACACAGGGTTTAGGGCTCCCTGGAGCGGCCCCAGGTAAAATGGTGGAATTGTCTGTTTCTTTCCTCTCCTTACTCCCTTTTTACCTGTTAATTCTTACTATAAAGATGAAATGTTAGACAATATTGTGAATCTGTCGTCCTTATCTTCTGGTATCTGGGCCCAAGGTGAGTTTCTGTAGTCTGGCATTCCCTAGAGTCCCTAGCTTTATCAGTCCCTTTTCTGTTACTATAATGAAGTACCCGAGGTTACACACTTTATAAAGAGGTGTGGTGGCTTATGGTTCTTGAGGTTGAAGGCCAAGGGGCCACATCTGGTAATGCCTTCTTGCTGGCAGAGTCCTGAGGTGATTCAGGTATCATCTGGCAAGAGATGGGATACGTTTCTCCCCTGGTCTTTCCCGCTTATAAAGCCATTAGTATTCACTCCTGGGGCTCTACCCTGATGACTTTATCTGATGCTAATCACCTCCCAAAGGACCTACTGCTAAGCACCATAGTTGAATTACATTTCTACCTTTTTAACACCTTGCAGTGGAGATTCAGCTCCATTATAAGTTTTACAGGGGACAAGCCACTTTCAAACCATAGTATTTCTACCTGCTAGCATTGGTTAGCTGCCTCTGGTCCACCTAGATAAACACAAATTCCCAGCCTCCCCGTCACATTGATGCCTACAGAATACTGGAGTTTGGTGCCCAGAAATCTTATTTGTAATAAGATTTACAAATCAAAGATTGTAAAATCTTATTTGCAAGGTGAGGGGACTGCAGATTTGGCAATCAAAACTTTCCGGTTTGAGAAGATTCTCCTTTCTGGCAGCACCTCCAGATTGGTGCACCATGAATACTTTCTACTTACCAGTTTATTTTCTCAATACCCTTTTGGGTTCCTCTTCACCAGCCCCAGTGTACAAGACTTACAGACTCATAAGGACTTTTCAGCCTTCTCCCCAAACTATGTTCCTGTGCCTCTGAGCCCTGTTTTCTACATTTTATCTCAGCTCCGCAACTCTGGTTTCTTCTAGTTCTCCTCTTTCTTCTGAGTTACAAAACCCAGGTTGATTTTGGGACTCAAAGTCAGGCTTAACCAAAATTGCATGTAGCAGACAGTTTGGTCCCCTCCATGTGGCCCCTGTGATGATGAGTTGCCTCTGTCTCCTTTCTTGTCCTTCAGAGCCCTCTTTATCCGGCCCTTCATGCTGCTCCTGGATGAGCCCACCAACCACTTGGACCTAGACGCTTGTGTGTGGTTGGAAGAAGAACTAAAGACGTAAGGAGGTGGAGTTGGGTGTGGGATGGGAATGGGCAGGTCCCAGGGGGGCAGTTGAGCAATCTCTAAAGAAAATGGATGCAGAACCTGCACCATAGTGTGACATTGAGAAAATGGACTGAAAGTAAGGCTAGATGAAGTGCTGAGCCCCTGTGGGCTGGCCTTTTTGTTTGTGTGTAATCTGAAATGTGAGAGAGGTGTTTTTGTTTGTTTGTTCTAATACCTCTTTGGTTTTCCCCTTAAAATATAGTATCAGCCCAGGAGGGTCCCAGCAACTCTGGAGGTTAAAGAAGCAGGAGGATCGCAAGTTTGAGGCCAGCCGTAGTAACTTAGTGAGACTCCTTCTCAAAATAAAAAATAAAAGGACTGGGAATGTAGCTCAGTGCTACTAAAGTGCCCCTGGATTCAGTCCCCAGTATCAAACAAAACAAAACAAAAAAGAACCCAGTATCTTTACTAAAAACAGTATTCTTTTCCTAGTTGTATGCTACATACAAGATTTGATGGGGATCTCCCATCTAAGATCAGATAGCAGTAACAAAGGAAAAAATAGCCAGTATGGTCATAATCTTTATGGCTAAAGGACTAGAAACCTGGAATATTCTCCATCATCCCTGCATTAAAAACAAACAACAACAACAAMAAAAAAAGTTAGTGGCTTAGTGCTTTTTTGAAAAAAGAAAAGCCTCGTGTTCTTCATTGCATTGTTTCAGCCCTTTGCCCTCTACCCCCCTGCAGTTCTGGATACACTTAGGGGTGTATTTGTATACATGGCACTTCTTACCATCACTGTTGTTACCATATCCATGCCATTCTGTTGAAGGAGTAGAAGGCTGGGGCTCAGGTTGTCTTGTCACACTTCGAAAGGCTCCAGATCCCCTTCAGGTAGATGTTGCAGTGGTGGCTTAGGCACTTGACAACCGAGAATTGCACAGTACCTCCAAAGAAAGAGTGGCTAGCTGTGAGGATGGAAAAAGATGAAGGTTTTCTGGGCCCAACTCTAAGTTTACCTGTTGTCACCTGTCTCTAGTTTGGAGTACATTCCTAATTGGTTCTTGGACTTTGCAGTTTTAAGCGCATCCTGGTCCTGGTGTCCCACTCTCAAGATTTCCTGAATGGTGTCTGTACCAATATCATTCATATGCACAACAAGAAACTGAAGTACTATACGGTGAGTGGACCTCAGCTTCTCCCACACTCATCTCTATGCTTATAAATCTCGGAAGTTCTCCTTTAAAAAAGGCAGCCTAACAGCTCTTTTCTCCCTATTGCTATAAAAAGATATGGACAGGGAGTCCCTGTAGCCTGTTTTATTTTAGTCCCAAAGCCATTGCTTTCAGGCATAGGCCATGGGTTGGCAGCAAATGCATGTGGTGTATGTTTGCTTTATGGCAAAGAAGTTGCTCTCACTCAATGCCTGAGGAAGGCCAGCTCCCTTTACCTTCTCRCATGGCATCTTCACTCTGTCATGAGAGTCAGTGCACTGAACCCGCCTTCCCTGAGTACAGGAGGGTGGGGATTAAGATCTTAGCACCTCCATGTTGTCCCTCACCTTTTTATCTTTAATATTTCAAAAACCATGTAAAAAGTGAGAATTAAAGTCTTTCTCATGTATTTATACTTGTCACAGAGTGTTAATAGTCTTTACCTGGCCTTCCAGAAGTCTCCTATGTACTTGTAAGCATTAGTTGGAAATTTCTACATATATATATTCTTTTCTTTTTACATAGTTGTGGTCTTAATACAGTTTTTATTCTTGTTTTTAAATACCTTTCCAAATGGGTATGTGTGAATCCACCTCTTTTCAGTGACTGCGTAGTATTTCATTCTGCAACTTAACTTTTTAATGAATTTTTAGCTTGAGTCCAGGTTGTTTGGCAGACAGAAACCATGGCAATCCAGTTGAACAGAGTTTTCCAGGTCCTAAATCCAGTCAGCCTGTGTTTTTTCACCTAGGGACTGCTCTTACAGTCCTTGTGGGGCATCAGCCTCTGGAGGTCGGGTAGTGGGAGATGGTGTTTGGGAGTTCTGAGCTTCATGAGAGCATGAAGAATGGTTTTGAGGGATGTTCCCAATGCTGAAGTGTCTGAAGTGGCTAATCTAAGGATTTGCCTTGGAGCCTGGCCTGTCTAGACTRAGCAAGAGGCACAGAATTGAAAAGACCTTGCATTCTAGTTTAGGATGTGCTTCTTTTGATATACTTCCTTTCTTCTTACTGCACAGCCTTAGAGCCAAGGCCAAGTCAGTGCCATCCCTCATCCCCCTAAACTCTGAGAACCCAGAACCGAGACCCAGGTTTAAGCTGCCTGCTTGCCTGGCGCATTTTCCTGCAGGGTAATTATGATCAGTATGTGAAGACACGACTGGAGCTGGAGGAGAACCAGATGAAGAGGTTTCACTGGGAGCAAGATCAGATTGCACACATGAAGGTAGGGAGATTGTAGAGGCAAGTGCACATTCTCCCATCTGAATCAAATCAGACAGTTGGAAGAAGTATCTGGGGAGGCTGGGTGCTGAAGGATATCAGGAAGAAATTTTTTTTTTTTTGGTACTGGGAATTGAAGCCAGAACACTTTGCCACTGAGCTACATTCCCATCCTTTTTGAGACAGGGTCTCAATTTCTTAGGGCCTTGCTAAACTGCTGAGGTTGGCCTCAAACTTGCAATCCTCCTGTCTCAGCCTCTCAAGTCAATTACAGGCATGTGCCACTGTGTCTGGCTATGATCATCATTTTAACTCTGATTTAAGAGGAGTTGTTTGGTGCCTGCATATACTTCAAACCCCCTTTTTTGGTCTCTTTCAGAACTACATTGCTAGATTTGGTCATGGCAGTGCCAAGCTGGCCCGGCAGGCCCAGAGCAAGGAAAAGACACTACAGAAAATGATGGCATCAGGACTGACGGAAAGGGTCGTGAGCGACAAGGTGGGGTCAGGTGGGGTTAGGTGGCCAGAGGTTTGGGGTTTGAGAATTTACCAGCCTGATAAGTGCCTTTTTCTTTTCCTAGACACTGTCATTTTATTTCCCACCGTGTGGCAAGATCCCTCCACCTGTCATTATGGTGCAGAACGTGAGCTTCAAGTATACAAAAGATGGGGTAAGTTCAAGCCCGGGTGTGGGTGGCTTGGGGCTGGTGTGCATCTTCCAGGGCCTGTGGTAGCAGCAGGAGCCTCTTCCTATCATGCTGACCTGTGTTGGGGTGGGCTTGGCAGCTGCCTGCCTCATCCAAGGACTTAAGCTGGCCCTTCAGATGCCTGAAGGAGAGCTGCCCAGCTAGGTTGGCAGGTGGAGGTGGTGGTTGGGCTCAGCACTCCATTCTCTCCAGTGTTCCATTGGTGACTAGGACTCCATAGGCAGAGTAGATCAGTACTCCAGCCTGTGTCCATGTCTCTCTTATACCCACCTCAGCCTTGCATCTACAATAATCTAGAATTTGGCATTGACCTCGACACACGAGTGGCTCTGGTAGGGCCCAACGGAGCTGGGAAGTCAACACTTTTGAAGCTGCTAACTGGAGAGGTATGGTGCTCAGGTAGAACTTGGCTGCTTCTAGGGGCCTCTACTCTTACAGAGTCTGGGTACCCTGTTGGTGGAGTGAACCACCCAGAGTGGCTAGGGCACAGCGTGAGAGGGGGATTCTCCTTGCGGGGCAGGGCTAAGGCTGGGGCACATGTCCCTTGTGATTTGGGTGTTTTTAGTTAGCATTTTGGATATAGGAATATCTGCATTTGGAGATAATGTTTTTCTTTAGAAAACGTATGTTGTGCCCATATCCAAGTTCATTGCTAATGCATTCCTTTGGTGCATTCTATAGTGGACAGTTCATAACTACTTAATAAATTCATTCTCCACCCTTGAGAATGAATGCCTGTTTCAATAGGTCATCCTAAATATTTTTAGAGCTGCCAGACTGAGAGTCTGCCTTGGTGAAGGGATCTCTGTCTCAGAAGTTGTAGGAGCCCGGTTCACTGTGCCGGGTATTTGCTCCCTCTCTGCCTGTGTGTGCTTCTATTCAGATTTTCTTTTATGTGCTTATATTTCTATTTACTCCTTTTTTCCTCCTAGCTACTACCCACAGATGGGATGATCCGGAAGCATTCTCACGTCAAGATAGGGCGTTACCATCAGGTACAGGTTGGGGTCAGGGCCCAGGAAGTTGCCCAGGGTATAGGGAGGGGCTGCATYTGGCCCCAACCCCTCTCCCCAGGAATTCGAACCTAGTTAGCTCCTACCTGCTTCTCCTTGAATCCTGAACAAGTGCCTAGGGTTGAGGTAGAAAATAACCCAAACAGGTAACCCAGATGGCTCCTTTTAAAGCCAGCTACCAGTCACACCTGGGTGGGTCCCAATTTTTCCTACAGCATTTACAGGAGCAGCTGGATTTAGATCTCTCCCCTTTGGAGTACATGATGAAGTGCTACCCAGAGATCAAAGAGAAGGAGGAAATGAGGAAGATCATTGGGCGATATGGCCTCACTGGAAAACAGCAGGTTAGTGGGGGAGGGGTGTGGGAGGAAGTCCAGGTAGTGGGAGACCACCACTGGATGGTCAGGAACAGCGTCCTGGAAGCACAGGTTTGGAAGCTGTCCCTCCCAGAGTCTCCTCTCCTGCCTCCAGCCTGCTGCCTCTTCTCTACCTGGTCGTCATAGTATTTGAGAGTCACTGTGGAGTTGGTGGACAAGGATAGTGAGCTAGTCTGTCATGCCCTTGTGCCGGCGTGTTTGAAGACAAAGGAATAGACCACCTAGAAAACAGTTCTAGGTCTAGACCTGGAATTGAGGAGCCACTGGATTGTTCCAGTACATTAGGACTTAGAGGCCAAGAGTAAGGGGTGTTGATGCGGTAGTGGCAAGGTGGTTGGATTCCCAGATGTGTCCCTAACAGGCCTAAAAGGACCAGTGGCCACGGTATTCTCTTGCCGTGTTGTCCCTTTTTTTTTGGGGGGGGGGCACCATCTCCACCCTTTTCCTTTTTTTTTTTTTTTTTTTTAATGAGAGAGAGTCTTGCTAAATTGTTTAGGGCCTTGCTAAGTTGCTGAGATTGGCCTTGAACTTGCAGTCTTCCTACCTCAGCCTCCCAAGTTGCTAGGAATATAGGCATCTCTCACCACACCCAGTGTAATCTTGTCTGAGCCTTACATTTTGCAAAAGAGCAGTAATGGTAACAAAGGAGCTAGGGAGAGAGGGATAGGAGAGGAGACTGCTGCATGGTGGGGGCAACTCTCTGTCATGTTTTACGGTTCCTCTCAGGTGAGCCCAATCCGGAACCTGTCAGATGGGCAGAAGTGCCGAGTGTGTCTGGCTTGGCTGGCCTGGCAGAACCCCCACATGCTCTTCCTGGACGAGCCCACCAACCACCTGGACATTGAGACTATTGACGCCTTGGCAGATGCCATCAACGAGTTTGAGGGTGGTATGATGCTAGTCAGCCATGACTTCAGACTTATTCAGCAGGTGAGGTCCTGGCCTCAGCCTGAGGCACAGCAGAGAGCTTCTAAGGAAAGGCTGGGTAGAGCGCAGTGTGGCACATGTGGGGTGCTTAATAATGTTTGCTGGATTCACAGAAAGGTCTCAGGGTTAGATTGGCTGCTGAGAAACAGATCTCATGGCTTTGGGAGGATGTTGGCCTAAATGGAGTGGGGAGTCAGGTTTTTATTACTGTTCCAAGATTCTTCAGTCCAAAAGTACTGTTCTACTACTACAAGATTAGGAAGAAGGCAGCCACCAGTCGTGGGAAAGGTGCTGATTGTTCTGAATCTTTGGGAGAGATGGGGTGGAACAGGAAGTTTAGTGTGAAGCCTCTGAACAGATCTGACAGTAGGGGAAACAGCGCTTCCCAGCTTGGAAGGCTGTAGAACCTGCTGGTTACGGTGCCCTAGGGTCAGACATCCCGAAGAACATAGGTAGTGAAACAGTTGGATRGGGTTTGGGTGAGGCCTCAGGGGAGAGTGTGGCATTTTCTCCCTGGAACCCCCTTGATTGGTTCTGGGGCTGCGGGTGGTGGTGGGGGGGGGTAGGAGAAGAACGGCTGCCCAGTTCAATCCAGGATCTGCTTTCCAGGTTGCACAAGAAATCTGGGTCTGTGAGAAACAGACAATCACCAAGTGGCCTGGAGACATCCTGGCCTACAAGGAGCACCTCAAGTCCAAGCTGGTAGACGAGGAGCCCCAGCTCACCAAGAGGACCCACAATGTGTGAGCCCTTGGCCCCCTTGGGTCAGGAGCGCCAYCTGGGGACTACCAGCTGTTGCCTGACCAGCCACTCAGGACAGGACCCTGGGGCTGCACTCCCGCATTGCTGCAATACTGCCCCCAGCCTCTCCCCATCTCAGCCTGCCTTCGCTGCACTGTTACCTTATCTACAGCTGGACAGTACCTGTCCGTTTCCCATCCTCCTTCCAGTTACATCTGTCCATGTCTGGACTTGTCTGGCTCTTCCCTCTAGCCTGTTGCTGGTTATGTTGCCCTAAGAGAGATGCAGCCAGAGGTTACCCTAGGGTTAGCCCAAGGACCCATACCCTGGATTTGGCGTGTGAAGGAGTTTTAAGAGCCTCATTTTCTGGGTTTTGGTGATGTTGGAGGATTACCCCCAGCCCACCACCCCTGTTCCTTTTGCTTCTGGTTTGGAGCTCTGGACCAGGGCCTTGGTCCTGGTCCATTTTTAAATAATTATTTAACAGTGTAACTTTTAGACCTGAGTGACATCTACAAAGTGTCCAATAAAGAAAGAGGAACCCATGGTCCCTCTCTTCCTTCCCAGGTCTCTGGGGCCTTCTTCCCCTCCTCCCTGCAGCACCAGCATTCACCTCACCAAGAGTTTGATGGGACTGAAGATTATCCTGTAGGAGATGAAGAGTGTCTCCCCCTTCTGCCTTGAACTGGGACTCTTAGGCCTGTRGTTCACATACCTTAACATGACTCTGAATCACCTGGAGGGCTCATCAGATCACAGATTGAAAGTTTCTCTCAGTAGGTCTGGGTGAGACTGAGAATTAACATTTCTAACAAGTTCCCTGTGATGCAGATGCTGAGTTGCAGGTCTAGGGGCCTTGATTTGAAAAGCACCATGATAGAATATGTTTTTCAGAGTGTGACCCGAGACTCCTGCTACCACTTGCACCACAGTATGTGGGACACTTGTTAAAATGTGGATTCTGAAGTCCAGACCTGTTGGTTTGGTGTAGGGGGAAAGATTCAGAAATGTCCAAGGGTTTGCATCTCCAGCTGCTGTTCTGGAGCAATACAGGAAGTGCAGTCAACTTACTCGTCCACCTTCATTTTCATCAGCCTGGGCTGGTTGACATCCAGCCCAGGCCTCTTGGCAGCCTGTGTGGTTCTTATGCCCCTAGGATGTGCGCGGCCAGTGTTAGTYCTGCACTTGTCACTCTGCCTCTGAAACCTCAGCAGTCCTCCTGTGGGAAAACAGACACAGCCACAAGTTGTCATATTACAGTGCATCTAAGAAGGGGGAAGAAACTCCCAGATGGTGTCCAAACCCCCAAGGAGCTCATAATCGAGAGGGAAAGCCAACAAGACATAGAAAGCACATAAATCAGATGTTAAATTGTTATTGAGATTAAATTGTTGAGTAGGAGACTCAGAAGTATTCAAAACGGGGTGCGGTTTTGCATGAGCAGCTGCCCAGAAAGACTGGCTTAGTGTTCAACTTGAAAGATGAGTAGGGTCTTCTCAGATGGTCATCAAGTTCAAGGGCTCCCTTAGGCAAAGGAGACACCAGTAAGAAACCAAGAGGCCTCTGCTGCTCCTCAGCCTTTAAGGGGCCTGGTCTGGTCACTTGTGCCATTAAGTAGGGTTGAGAGCAAAATGGCCAAGTTGATCTGTCTTGAGCACCCAGAGCCTGGGTTCAGGGGAGCATGGTGTCAGCCAGCTGCTGCTCCTTCCACCAAGGAGCTGCCTGGTCTCCAGAGTATGGCATGGCACCTGAGGTGCTATTGGACAGGAGGACCCCAGGATTGGGAGAAGTAGAAGCTGAATAGTAGTAGTACAGTCAGCCTGTTTGGCCTTTTTTTTTTTTTTTTTTGACAATCTTGATAATTGTAAGAATACTTAGAAAGTACACAAATTATATATTTCTAAAATTAGCACTGCCTTATTTGGGAGTCAGAACTGCTTCCCAGTACTCTTGAAGCAAACTTTGGCAGTCGCGGTAGATGATGAGGACTGCTGTGCTCATGTGCTGGCAGGTGGGGATGGTCTTTGGCTCTCTGTCTCTCTCCCCCCACACCTATACTTTTCATGCTGCTCCAGGTTTCTTTAATCACAGCATTCAAGAACCTGAAATATTTGTTCACATGTAGGGGTTAAGTGAGATGACTAACTCACCATTTCACAATAACTTTATCTTTGCAGATAACTTCCACTTGCATCCCCAAATAATTTGTTTTCACAGAGAAAGCGCATTGTTTCTCTACCCCTAGCTCCTAGTCCCAAAGGCCTTCCTTGGACTCCCAGCCTAGGTTGCTTCCCGCTGTCTGTGTCTAGTACAGGCCCAGCTGGCCAACCCAGCTTCCGCCTGCAGTGCGAGCCTTGCATAGATTCTACTCTCACTTTTTTTGCCCCATTCTTCCTAATTAAAATCATAACCTCATGGGCTGAGGATATAGCTCAGTTGGTAGAGTGCCTGCTTTGCATGCACAAGGCCCCAGGTTCAATCCCCAGCACCACCAAAAAAAAAAAAAAAAATCATAATCTCCTTCAAGACCAGCTTTAGGCCCCCATGTATTCCATGAAGTGCCCCTGGGTACTCTGGCCCTCCTTAACATCCACACACTTCCTTAATTATTGAATGCAAGCCAGCCTTGTCTCTCCAGCCTAGCAGAGGGCTCTGTGCGGGGAAGAAGCTTGTGGTCCTGAAACCCCAGAGCCATGCTGGGCGCCAATGTGCTCTGTGAATGTGGATGGTTAGCCTGGAGTCGGTGAACTTCAGCAAGTGCATAAGCCCACTCAGGGAAGATTGGGAGATTTCTTGAAGAGGGAGTAATTAGTCCCAAGATTAATCCAGAATGTGTTCTGGGTAGGGTGGAGCTGAGCCTTGCCCCACCTTCCATCCCAGGTGCTTGCCCCCAGCCACACCTGGCAGTGCAGTTGGCTTCTTAAAAGTGGCCCCAAGGCAAGGGAGGGGGCTGGCGAGAAGCAGGAGGATGAGTGCAGAGCTTGGGCGGCAGCGGCGGCAGCAGCAGCAGCAGCAGCAGCAACAGCAACAGCAACAGCAACAACCCGGGGGCCGCAGGAGGTGGAGCTCTGGGGACAAAAAGTCCAAAAAACGTAGCCGGCGCAAAGAAACATATTCAATGTATATCTACAAGGTGCTGAAGCAGGTGAGCATGGGGAGTGAGAATGTGGGTGAGGGATGAACTGGCAAAGGGGCCCCAAAAGAGTGCTGGACTGAAAGCAGGGCTTGGTTTCTTGCTGGCACTGGCACAAGTGGCCACAGGCAGGCTGTGCCCCTCCTGAGGTGGCTGGTGTTGGTCTCAGGTCTCTACCTCTCAGTGTCTTGTGCACCTGTAGTCGGAGACATTTAAAGCATTCTCCCACCCTTTCCAGACGACTGCAGGRCTGTTGGACAGAAATGATCTTGAAGTACACTAGGTGGGACAGGCTGAGGGTAATGCACACACCATAATACAGACAGGGAGCCTGTGACTGAGGGGCAATTAGTATGACCTGGGTTCCTGGGAGAGGCCTGGTCAGGTAGTACTAGCTCTTTGAAGGGCTTAGGATTTGTTGCTGATGGATGAAGCCTTGAAGTCCATAACTGGGGTAACACAGTCACATGACTGAGAGTGGCAGAGCCTGGCTCCCCTGGCTTTGGACAAGCCCATAGCATCCTTCCTGGTGGCCCCTAACACCCAGTTGCAGGTGCCCTTCATTTATTCATAAAAAGGATTCCCAGACTCGGCGCCTTGATAAACACTTTGGGCATCAATGGCTATTCATAAACCAGTGTGCATAGAAGATCCAAAGCGCCCTGCCCTCACCTCAAAGCTGCTGCCTGCTTAGCAGGGCCAGGAAGAGGAACAGGTGRCTGTGCTGTCTGAGCTGGGGCTTGCCACCTGCCTAAAATTCTTTTTTTTTTTTTATTCTTTATGAGTCAATGTCTGAAATTTTTTTATTATTAGTTGTTCAAAACATTACAAAGCTCTTGACATATCATATTTCATACATTTGATTCATGGGAGTTCATAATCTGCCTAAAATTCTTACCCCTCTAGTAGATTAGTTCCCAGAGTGGAAGCCTGTCTTCAGTCTGAAGCCCATTAACAGTGTTAGTGAACTGGCAGCATGGGATCTGGGATGTTCTCGTGGGTAGGGAAGGCACTGCTATGGATGGTCCAGAAGGGAAGCAGCAGAGGACGGGCTATACCCTAAGAGTGGTGTGTTTTTGTTTTTGTTTTTGTTTTTTACCAGGGATTGAACTCAGGGACAACCAACCACTGAGCCACATCCCCAGGCTTATTTTGTATTTCATTTAGAGACAGGGTCTCACTGAATTGCTTAGTGTCTCGTGGTTCCTGAGGCTGCCTTTGAACCCTCACCCTTCTGCCTCAGCCTCTTGGGATTACAGGTGTGCGCTACTCCACCCTGCTAGAGGTGGTATTATTAATCCCTGAAGATTAACCCCATTTCATGGCTCAGAAGTTGCTGGAAGGGTTGGACCAGGCCTGGGCTTGCCAGGCAGAGGACACCTACGAGTTGGTTCCTTGTTGCTGCTCACTGAACTTGACTGCTTCTCAGCTCTGAGCTTATCAGCAGACCTAAGAATGGGATGTGATGAGAAGGGATTTGAGCTAACCCACCCTTGAACAGCAGCAGACTTCCTGCCAGCAGTGGGGACCAGAGGCAGCAGTGACAGTGGGTGGCTGGGTGTTAGGAGCCCCGTTCTAATTCTGGCTCCCCCACTGGCCTGGTGCAGGCGGGGGCAGTCACTTCTCTTCCACTTTGCACCTGACCAGGTCTACCTACTCAGGCCTCTACCATTTGTTTCACTAGAAATCAGCTAGTTCAAAAGGCTCTGTGATAAGAGGAAAACAAGGCCCAGAGGTTGATTCCAGGTCATAGTGATTCACAGCCCAGATCACAGGTCTGCCTCCTGGTCTGGTGCCACTGTGACAGTCATGCAGGTGTGCTTACTGGAGGGTAACTTGGCACCAGCCATTTGACCAGGAATAATTAACCTTCATTATTTCTCATACAGGGTTCTAAGATGCAGATTTAGTAGCACAATCTAATAGCAAACAAACCCTTAAATGTCCATTAAGAGGAATGGTAATGAACATGATTCACCTACCCCACTATGGCTCATCTATGCAAATGCATTAGATGAAAACAAGGTGCATGTGTAACTGATTCCACTCGTTAAGTATAAATGCTTGCCTTTGCTTCTATAAGGAATTTAATAGTTACTCTGCCATTGGAGAAACTTTTTTCTTTTTAAAGTTGAATATACAGCCATGTCATTTAACAACAAGAACACATTCCGAAGCTGGACATGGTGCACACGCCTGTAATCCCAGCTGCTCTGGAGGCTGAGGCAGGGGGATCATGAGTTCAAACCCAGCCTTGGCAACTTAGCAAGGCCCTAAGTAATTCAGCAAGATGCTGTTTATAATAAAAAAGGGCTGGGGATGTAGTTCGTGGTTAAACACTAGTACCAAGGAGGGAAAAAAAATCCACATTCTGAGAAATGCATTATTAGCTAGTTCCATTCTTATGCAAATGTCAGAGTGTACATGTACAAGAGAAGATGGCCATGATGGTCACTAGGCAATATGAATGGTACGGGACCACTGTTATATATGCAGTCTGTTGCTCACTGCATGGCACATGACTAGCAGTAGAAAAAATAGTTTCAATTTCCCTGTCTGGTGGCCTCCAGGGAGATGCTGGTGAGGAGACCTAGGTTCCTGTCCCTGGACTCTAAGAGTCCAGGTTGGGCTGGGCCAAGGCTGTGGTGCACACAGCTGTGGTTAACAGATGGTCTTGCTGCTTTTCCAGGTGCACCCGGATATCGGCATCTCTGCCAAGGCCATGAGCATCATGAACTCCTTTGTGAACGATATTTTTGAGCGGCTGGCTGGTGAAGCTGCCCGGCTGGCCCAGTACTCAGGCCGGACAACCCTGACTTCCCGGGAAGTCCAGACAGCCGTGCGTCTGCTGCTACCTGGGGAGCTGGCCAAGCATGCTGTCTCAGAGGGCACCAAGGCTGTCACCAAGTACACCAGCTCCAAGTGACCAGGGCCTGCCATAAATAAAGGGTGACCTGTTCCTGTGCACTGTGGTGACTTGAAAAGGGGGTGTGTGGAGCCAGAGTGTTGTCTGGGGCAAGGGTAAACTTGTTCTTTGACACTACCACAGATGGAATCCTAACACTTCTTAAAATCTGCTTTCTAAATGTATTCCTGGAGCACCAGGTGATAGTGATTTGTAAGCCTAAGACCTGCTTTCATTGGTGGAGAGCAGGAGCAGGGCTGGGACAAAGGTCCTGGGTTTATGCTGCTGTTTCCAGCTGTGAGCCTGAAATTCCTCGGTATGTTACTTCCAGGCTGTGGTTTTATGAATCTGTCTTACATCGACTCTCGTCGTTCCCTGTATGTGGCAGCCACTGTGCTGGGCAAGGGGCTAGGCTTACATGTTCAACATACAGAACTGAAGGTCAGACTAGCTTCTAAATAATCAGCTGAGATTAGTTGAAGTTTTTATTTCCCCTAACATTTTCTTCCCCCTCAATTTCAGAACAAATCAATGGATGTTTTTGAGATTCCTAACTTTTCTTCTCCACTTGTAGTTCTTTATTTCTGTGATTGGACCCAGGAGTTGTCTGCCCACGAAGCTACATCTCCAGCCCCCCCCCTTTTTTTTTAAGATGGGTCTTGCTAAGTTGCCAAAGCTGGCCTCTAACTTGCAGCCTTTCTGCCTTAGACCCCAGGTTGCTGGTATTACAAGCATGCCCCATTGCACCCAACTTCCAATTTTACTTTGAAACCTGCAGTGGCACCTGTTTGGGAGGCTGGGGCAGGAGGATTACAAGTTCAAGGCCAGTCTCAGCAACTTAATGAGACCCTGTCTCTAAATAAACACACAAAAAGTGCCCCTAGTTTCAATCCCGGGTATCCAAAAAAAAAAAAAAAAAAAAGTGCTGTAGCCACCCCTGGCCTTCCCACTTACCATCTGACCACGTGCTTTCCCTCTCATTCTGCCTCTGCCCTTTTCCATGGGCATAAGACCTACACATTCCGCTCCAAACTTGGAGGGGTTGGAGTGAAGGGGTGGGACTTAGACTGATCTAGAATCCTTCTTTATGTTCCCTTGGTGATCGGATCACCTCAGGTTGTTGCCTTCAGCTTCATTGCCCTGAAAGGTGCTACCTTGTCCTGGTGGCTGACAGCTGGCTGTGGCCCCACATGCCCCACAGGTTTTTTTCCTCACAACTCAAGCCTCCCAAGAAGATTCCCCAAGCTGAGGACTGAGGATCCACATTCGGGTCCCAGGACTCGAAAGGGACAGCCCCAGGAGATCATGGCCCTGAACTCACTGTTCCCACTCCACCACTTGCTTCACACCTTGCTACAGAAGTGTGCATCATGGACCAACAGCCTCCACGTCACCTTGGCACTTGTTGGGAGCTCAGGCTCTTGAGCCCCACAGCTCTGAAATGGAATCTACATGTTAACAAGATTCTCTAGTAACAAGTTTGAGAACTCCTCCCGCTGCCCCCTGCTCCCCACTTTCTTTGGCCCTGCTCCTCATTTATTCATAAGCCTCTACTTAACCCTGGGCAAAAGAATGGCTCCCCCTGAGCAGAGGGGCTGCTGCTGGCGGAATGCTTTGAGCTTCCAGAGAAGCCGTCCTGAGCCTGGAGCTCATGGCAATGGGGAACGTCCACGGGTAGCTGCGAATGAGCCCCAACATCGAGTTGCTGTTTGGGTCAGCTTCTTTACCACTGTGGCCAAAACAATTAGAGGAGAAAAAGTTTATTTGGGGGCTCACAGTTTCAGTCCATAGCTGGCCAGGTCCATTCCTCATGGCTGGAGGTGAGGCAGAACAACATGGCAGAAGTATAAGGCAGAGGACAGCTGCTCAGGACACGGCAACAGGAAGGAGAGAGAGAGAGAGAAAGTGCTCACCACTGAAAATATGTACACTTCAAAGGCGCACTTCCAAGGGCCGCCTCCTCCGGCCACACCATACCTCCCTATAGTCACCACCCAGTTAAACCCTCTCAGGGAATTAATTTACTGATTAAGGCTCATAGCCCAATAATTCCACCTCTAAATTTTCTTGTTTAAACTTTATAAACATCACTCCTTCTGGAACCCCAAGTTCATAGTCCTCCAACACTCACAGCTTGGTCCCCCACATCCCCTGCCCCCKCCTAGCACAGAATTCCACATGGGCCACGTGAACCTTCTTAACTCAGCCAACCCCAGGGAGGGAGGCATGGTTGTGCTGTCACACAGAGGAAAGTGGGGACTTCAGGGCCTCTGAGCCCCAGTCCAGGGCCCTCTTCCCCACCCATTACACAGGCTTCTAGGACAGTCATATACAAGGGTAAAGGCAGGGGCCACTGGTGGAGCATGTGTTTAGCGTGCACATGACCCTGGGTTTGATTCCCAACACCAAAAGAGTAAAGTCAGGTTGCCTGGAGTGGAGACTGAGGAGCTGGACCTGGTGGCATGCCCCAGTGGTCCCTGCAATTAGGGAGGCTGAGGCAGGAGAACGGTCTGAGCCTAGCAGTTTGAGGACAGCCTGGGCAACATAGTGAAACTCCATCCCCAAAGTAAAATCTTTTAAAAGAATAGGAGGCTGAAGGAAGTTAAAGAAAAGAAACTTTCCCGAGTGAGGAGTCCATTTGCCCTTAGGATAGATACTTACCCAGAGGCTTACAGCTTACAGGTGACTTCAGGTAGAGACTTATTGATTCTCACCAGAAAAGTGGCCACAGTCGTCCCCCACACTGCCCTATCCTTTCTGCAGCCTCTGCCCCTGCCCACTTCAGCACGGCCATCTCAGGGATGTCCACCTAGGGAGACAGCCAATCCTGCACTCCCAATCCCTCCCCTCAGCCTTAGAACATTGGCACAACAATGGGTCAGAACTCTTAACACTAGGCCGTTCTGCCCCCGACTTTAGGGAAACCACAGAGGTTCTTTGAGTTCCACGGCCAGCTCAAAACAGTGTGAGGAGTGGGTACTATGTCTGAGGGGTGAGTGAGGGAAGAAGGAGGCTGGCAGGGTGGGGAGAGCAAGGGGCAGAGCACCCTGCTGGCTGTGAGAGGCAGGGCAGGGAGGGCTCTGGTGCTGGCCAGCCCTGCGTGGGCCCTGGCCGTTTGCATGGCTCCCTGGCTGCTTCTGCCAGTGGACAGCTTTTGGTCTTCAGACTTCCCTTGGACTATTCCTTCCAGCACCAGGTTCTGGCCTGGAAAAGGGACTCTTCTCTACCCTCATCTCTCTCCCTTACCCCCCACCCATCATCCCAGATCACTGCTGCATGGATTGGCTGGGCCCTCATCTGGAGGTATCCATACTCCCTAAACTCCAAATGCCCTTTCCTTTTCCTTACAGGAACCCCACCACAGGCTGCCTCCTCCCCCAACTCCTACAGCTACACCCACACTTCTCTCCTTGTTATCCATTGGAGACCTAGAGCCCCCCAAACCCATGCCTCTTTAAGCCAAGCGGGTGCCTACTTACTCCTACCAGACAATTACTTCTCTGAAGTCCACTTTGGTACCTTAAGGAATATCACTCCTTCTGGAACCCCAAGTTCACATCCCTCCCAAACTCACAGCTTGGGTCCCCGCATCCCCTGCCCACTCTCCATGGTTCAGAGCACAGCATGTCCTACTTCTCTGCAGAACTTACCAGCGCCTCTGGGAGGCCTCCCATGTGACCCTTCAGGAGCTGCTGGACCAAGAGCAGCCCCTGCTGGAAGCTGTGCCCAACCGGGACCGGCAGTCCTTCCAGTATAGACTCTCAGTGTTCTACCTGTACTACCTGGGGCTGCTGCGCCGTTTCGACACCATCTATGACCAGATGGTTCAGCCACAGAAGCGCCGGTTGCTGCGGCGGCTGCTGGATGGCGTGGCAGGTCGTGTGCTGGAGATCAAGGATGAGCTGGTTCGTGTTGACCTATGTGAGACCCACTGCCTGGACCGCGTGCTACAGGATCTCAAGCTGACCCCAGTGCGTGCACTGCCACCTCAGGCTAGGTGGGAGGTGGGGGCTGGCCTTGACATACCACTGGTGTTGAGACATCTGCAAAGACAGGAGAGCCAGGCAGATCAGAGGATGGGTTTGGCCTGAGGGGAAGAGCTTCAGGAACTGGGGATGCATGGAGAATAAGGCCCCAGCCACCAGTGCAGCTGGGAAGACCCATGAACTACAGGGGATAGGTGATAAGGTCCTCTAGAGCCTGGCTTCTCAAAATGTGGTCCATGGACATTGCCTAGGAGGTGGTTGGAAATGCAGAATGTCCACCAGCACCCAGAGCCACTAAATCTGCACCTGCCTCTTCACATTCCTCCCAGGTGATCTGAGCACATGGGAAAGTTCTAGAAGGGGTTTCCTAGAGCAGAAAGCTACTGCAGGGCCTCCAAGCCTACCCTAAGGTCAATATGAAACTTGCCTTAACCAACTACTGGCGTGGACATGAACAAAATGCAGATTCCCCAGGTCTTGCCATTCTGCTGTGGGAGTCTGGGGAGGACATAGGAATCTGCACATTGTCTTTACAGTTGCTTTTGAGGCACAGTCAGGTTTGGGACCACTGCCACCTATTGTGATCCTCCAGAATTCAACTCTATCCAGATAGGGACAGGGCAAGAAAGGGACAACCCTGGGGGGGGAATTCACCCACAACCTAGAAGTTTCCCACTCCAGCTCCAGGAGGGAGGCAAATACTGCAGAGAATGGCTAAGCTGCTGGAACGGCAACAGTTTGGCCCAATGGCCTGGACTTGTGATTCCTGACCCTCCTCCCCACATCTTGCCCCAAAGGCAGACTTGGAGGTTCCAATCCCCAAATACTTCCAGCTGGAGCAGTCTGCGGCCATGAAGGAGCGCAAGCTGATCCTGGCTGAGATCCTGTCCAGAATGGAGCCAGAGCACCCCACGGAGGCAAGTGGTGGAGACACCCTCCCAGACGCACCCCCACCCCCCTCCTGGAATAGAGGTCTTGCCTGGACTAGTCACAGCTCAGAGTTGCCTTGGCCTTCTCCTCCAAGGCTACTCTAGTGCTCCCTTATCTTCCCAAACCAG